GGTTTACTATGCTAGCATGTAATTTTGTATGTTGGCTTAGTCACCTATGATTAAAATGTAAAGTAAAAATTTCAAACATTTAACAAAAATCAACCGAAAAATATCACCAGATCTCACATGTGCATCATTTGAAAACTCATGTGAAAATATACGAGACAACATTTGTTGCAAGATTGGGCAGTCTTGTGAGTTTTGAAGGCATTTTAAACTTTAGTGATTTAATAGTTTATAGTTTTTGAGAAATATTCTGAAGATCCATGAAAATGCAATCTGGTGATAATGTGGGATCGATATGCTGACCATTAACTGTACAACCAAATTCTGGCTGGCATATGAATCTAAGTCAGGGATGAAGAATGTGTGGCCCTTATGCACTCAGTAGCTCTAACTGGCTTATCCAAGGGCGAGGCATTCTGGGACTTTGGTAACAGTTGAAATTAGATTTCTAAATTCTGGCCCATGCTATGACATGTTCCAAGTTACTTAATTTAGTACCATGAAGTTATGATCCATTGTCAGCAACTACAAAGAAAGATTTTATCTCTGACAATCTGTCCCCATCAGTGTTGCAACACCCAGCACAGCTATAACTGAGTTCATCCACCTTGTTACTAGTTGTCTTCTTCTTCTCTTTCCTCCACCTTTTCCATCATTAGAGTCTTGAGCAGTGGGTTGGACTAGAAGATCTCCAAGGTCTTCTCCAGAGAACTAGGTTTTCTAATATGTCCCAAGTAGGATAATTTGAATCTAGTTATTTGTACCTTAAATGAGAACTCAAGTATTCTCTGGAGCAGACACTTTGTGGCCTGTGGGCAGGGATGGGATTCAAATTTTTAGCAACCAGTTCTGTGGGCGTGGCTTAGGTGGTGGGTGTGGCTTGGTGGTCATGTGACTGGGTGGACATGGCTTGGTGGTCATGTTATTGGCTGGGTGTGGCCAACTCAATATCACTCACATCGAGGCACACATCTCCTCACCTGGCCTCTCATGTCTGTGGGGATGCTGCAACAGTCGTAAGTGTAAAAAAACGATCATAAGTCACTTTTTTCAGTGCCATTGTAACTTTGAATGGTCACTCCACATAAGCAAAATACCAGCAAAAGAGGAAAAAAAACTCCAGAGAAGATCCTGAGACAGGAAGTCTAGTCTTGCCAAGAATGTAATAAGGGTTAATGGAGAGGCAGTTTCTGTAAGCAACACCAGAATGTTTCCTTCCTGCCTTCCTTACAGGGTTAGGCCAGTAATTTCTTCTAAAAACTGGTTCTCCGAACTGCTTAGAATGTTAACAACCAGTTCTAGCGAATAGATGCGAACTGGTAGAATCCCACCCCTGCCTGTGGTCCACATCAGCTTCCCTGTCTGGCCCATGGCATTGACATCAGTGGGGGGCAGGGTATTAGATGGCAGAGGATGGCATGGTGCTGGCAGGGGGCAGGTGGGGCAACAGCAGTGGCCTTCCACAACAGTTTCAGTTTCTCAGGTGTCCCTTTGGGAAAATTAATTGCCCACCCCTGCTTTGGAATTTTCCCCAACACTAAAATTCAAAAAGACGAATAGCCTCCTTATTGGGCTTCTCCAAAGTCCAACTTTAGGTTTAGGTGTATAGGTTTCTCGTGAGGATAAGGAGATATTCTGGTATTCCCAATTTTCTAAGTGTATTGCACAACCTGATGTAATGAACACAACCAAAGGCCTTTCTGTAATCAGTGAAGCACATCCTTTTTTTGTTGTTTTGATGTTCTCATTCCGCATTCTTCAACAATAATGTCTTATATTCCCCAGGTTCTTTTTTTCCTAAAGCCAGTTTGCACATCGGGCATCTCTCTTTCCATGCAGGGCTTGTTGGATGATTCTAAACATTATTTTGTTAGCATGTGAAATTAAGGATATTATATGATTGTTTGCACATTCTGCTAAGTCTTTGTTTATCATGCCATGAGTAACAATAATATGATATTCTGGCTGAAAGTGCCCTATCTCGGTCCATCTCAATTTGCTGATACCAAACATGCCAGGTTGTAATTGTTTCTTCTCATCTTTCACTCTGTTCAGCCTTCTCATTTTTATGCTTCTTATCTTCCATGTTCCTACTGTAATTCTGTTTTTGCAACTACAAATTTTCTTTTCCCATATGACAACATCAAAAACTAGACACCCCCAAGGCTTTAACTGAGCCACATCATAAACACCATTAGTACTCCAAAAGATTTTCAGCTCTTCCTTGACACCATGATGAGTGTCATCAGACCTGAAGGGGCCCATCATTCCTGTGGTACATTGTCATCATTTAATAATTTCTATTCATGTGGGGTTTTTTGGTTAAAAATGTGGGAGAGGTTTTCCATTGCCACCTCCTCCTATGCAGTATGAATTGATGCCTTTGAGATTGTCACTAAAGGGATCATCTGCCTCTGGCAACTTCCAATGGTCTACGTTGCTGCTGCCCAATCTAGGTGCCTGCTTGCTTTAGCTGGGCAGCTGGGATGACCTTCACACCTTGGGTGACCCTAGTGGGCATATATACTCTTGATATGCCCTCCCAATGTTCTTTGTTCATCCCTTGCAGCAACGCACTCCTGCCATGATGAGGCAGCGTGGCAGGATTTGAGGGAGGGGGGACAGGATTTAACAGATAGCTAAAATTAAATACTGTACTCAAAGATTCAGTATTAGCTAATGGAGGCATATTCTTCCTGATTACATCTTCCAGTTCAGAACTTAGAGCTGACTTTGAGAAAAAGGCTTCATGAGATGACAAAACCTAACAGGATAATTGCATGCTGGGAAAAGCCTACGTGCTTATAGAGTCACCTGCAATAGGTTCAGTTTTGCTACATTGCCTCTGGAAGAAATTTACTTGCAATTCACAGCATACAAACTTATCCCTGACTGCCGGTCTTTCAATAACTCATTTAATCTCCTTAATAATATACTAGCACCCAAAAAAGTATAAGGTATAACATGGCAGAAAAGATTCCCAGGATGCTCTGTTGCAACAATGGATATGTTTGCTATGCTGATTTATCTCATTTGTATCCCATTTTGGTTCAAAATCTACAAAGGGGTTTAAACCAGTGCTTTTCAACCTTGGCAATTTAAAGATGTGTGGTTAGCTCCTAGAATTCCCTAGCCAGCAATAAGGCAAGAGGATTTCCCAGGAATTATGAGGTTGAAGTCCTTACACCTTAAATGTTTCCAAGATTAAAGAGATATTGATTTACACAAAGATAAACATTGCAACAGGCATGATGGAAATGCAGTCAAAGCCAGTAATAAAAGTAGATTAAAGAGGAAGGGGGAATATTTTAAGCATTAAACATATGGGACAGTGGCATTGTCAGTCTTGGGTGTGGGAAGTCCCCCCGCTCTCCTAGAAGAATGAAATATTTGTAGGAATATTAAAAAGTCAGAATATTATATTTCCCTAAATGAAAAATGAAAAAACATGTTTTTTTAGAGGCAGGAAGCAGACTCAGTCTTTTTAATAGCCATCAGTAGATATTTTGTGCCATTAAGAAATACTATCTACAAAACAAAAGACCTTCAGCTCTGGGATGATGGGATTGAGAAGAACAGGACATCATCCTTCAGGACATAATAGGATTAACCCACTACCATTTAGCAGAAGACACAGAGCTCACTACATTGCACAATCTCTTAAGGGCATTTCAAACATTGCACCACTCCCTAGCAGCATCTCTGAAATTTATAAAAATCCATATACTCATCAAACCAATTGGTCAGCTGCACCAGGACCATAAAGGCTGGTGGTTCTGTTCATCATTAAACCATCTTTACAATCAGCCTCCATGTTTCCAGTGTCTTTCTCTCAGCTTGGAATTGAACTAGATGGATTTTTCTTCCAACATGGGCAACATGTGAGCTTCTCCTGATCTTTTTAATTCTCTCACATCACATTTGGGGATGGCATCATCTCCTTGAAACAGTTCTATGGTGCAAATCACCCTTTCATGCATTTAGAACTCAAGTTTATTTGCTTTGTTTCATCCAACTGACATCTAGCTGGCTTCACGCTGTCACCCAAGGACTGCAAGGTTATTTCCTCTGGAAAGGTTTAAATAATAGGGCTAACCATAATTGGCCTCACCCCATTCCTAAGAGGTCTGTAAGGGGCGTGCATAAGTGCACCATTGTGCCTACAGTCCCTGTCCTATTGTCCCCATTTATTTGTTCCTATTTCCTGTATTCTTACTCATGTTTATACTTATACCTATTATCTTGTAAGCAATTGACAAATAAATAAATAAATAAAAACAAAAACTAGAGGTCACTTAAAAATGAGTAGTTCTCTGCAGTTGCCCGTTTGTAATTTTGAATGTTGCATGAGCCCACAGATAAATGATGTTTATGTTCACTTATACACTTTTTTAAAACACTGCACGCTTCATTATCATATTAACACACACACACACACACACACACACACACACACACCCCATACCCGTTATAACAGAAGCAAAAATTATTGAGAGAAGGAAGCATTGTCCTACCTGTCAATGAATACTTCAGCTTCAACCATAACAACACAAGAGCACACAATAGATACAAACTCAAGGTTAACTGCACCAAACTTGATTGCAGGAAATACGACTACAGCAACAGGGTGGTCAATGTCTGGAATACTCTACCTGACTCTGTGGTTTCTTCCCCAAACCCCCAAAACGTTAACCTTAGACTGTCTACTATTGACCTCACCCCTTTCCTAAGAGGTCTGTAGGGGGCGTGCATAAGCGCACCAACCGTCCCTGTCCTATTGTTTCTTTTTATTTCTCTTATATGTATCCATTTCATGAACTCATAGTTATGTTTAGTTTCGTTTATACTTATACCTGTTATCTTGTAAGCGATTGACAAATCAAATAAATAAATAAAAAGGAAGAAACTCGCCTTCGGTCTACGGAGGTCCTGGGCGTGGCTTGGAGCGACTGGCTCCTCCCGTTCAACCCGCATCGAGGGCGTAGACCTGCGGGGCCGGCTCTGCGGAGGCTGCCGGTGAGCTCGTTCTTCGAAGCTTTGCCGCCCATCCACCGATTGGGCGACGTCGGCTGACTCCAGCTCCCATCCGCCCCTTTGCTTGAAGACGGAGAGTTGTTGGCAACTTCCTTTACCAGCAGCCTATGAAGCGGCGCGGTGCAAACGTGCCGGTATCCGCAGAAACCTGTCGGCCGTCAAGAAAAGGAGATCGCCTCGGCTGCCATGGGCCACGCCGCCTCCTCCGACGGGTTTGACGGGTAAGGCGCTGCTGCGAGGCCCGGTGAGAGGACGGGGACCCCGGGTTGCTGCCTCCCGGCGCCGGCCTCTTTGAGATTCCTCCTTGCGTCCGGCCATCTCGCCGCCGCGTCGCTGGACCCTCTGCTCCTTTTTTGTTTGCTGCCCATTTCATCCGTCGATCGCGGGGGAGAAAGGGGCGGGTGGGAACGGAGCTCTTCTCCGAATTAAATTCCGAACAGCTTTCCCACTGTATGGAAATGAAGCGTATTGGAAAGGAGCCTGGGAGCGCAGCGCGCTTTTAGAAAGCGCGATAAATCAAAGGAGACGGAAACGGATCGCAAACGCGCTCCGGACGCACAGCCCCTCCAAAAGGGCTTGTTCGGGCACTTGGCTTGCTATTCCAGTTAAAATCTCAGCCTGATTCCAGACGGAATCGGAAGGGATTCTTTTGTATCCTTACATTCGCCCTAGTCAAATGGGCCGAGTGATGGAAGCGAGTCAAGGCTATCCGGGGAACTTGCTTAAGTCTTAAAGAGATTTCCAACTCTTCGTTTCCAATCTCTGGTCTAAGTGAGCTGTTGTGATTTCAATTACATAAAGTGCCTAAAAATGCACTGGTGCCTTTTTTGTGCCTTTAATAGACAAGGCACTTGAGTTGACTTTGGCAGAACCTGATGGACTCTGACGTGATCAGAACTGTTTAATTCGTGGACAAAATCCAGCTCATTCGATTAGTTTATGAATCAGTATATTGCGTAAGTGGGATATTTCAGTAGCCTGGTTTTGTGTGTCATTTAAACTTAGGCAATGTATCTCACTAAAATCCAACTATTTTACTACTGTTCTCCAACACATCCTCCAAGAACTAGTGATGGAAAATAGAACAGGTTATAGCCTCAAATTTAGGAACTGTTGGTCCTCCAGTACAGGGTTTCTGCAACCTCAGCAACCTTAAGATGTATGAATTTCAACTTCCAGAAGCCACCAGCCAATGTGTGGAATTATGGAAGTCCACATATCTTAAAAGTAATCAAGATTGAGAAAAACTGATCCAGTAAGATGCACAATTGACGTGGGTTTTGGGGAACATAAATTTTCAAAAAGCGGAACTTTTTCTTTCAGTCTTAATTCATTTTAATCACCAGTGTATATTATATAAATATAGTATATAGATTAATGTATGATTTCTTTCCCCTTCCATTTTAGTTTATTTAAGAAATTTATTCAACTGTGGCTTGTTCAACAATGTATGTTGAAACAAACTATGGTTTAACATGATATTTGATACACTAATTTGTAGTATATCTTGGATATGCTTGTGGGACTGTGATAAAACTGCCCCAAATTTAGCCTTCCTTAATGTACTGCACTCAACTCCCATAATATGTTTCCAGCACTAAGTTGAAGTTTTAGTTTAATGTGCTGGTAATTGGAGGAGGCTGCTAATTTAGAAACTTTCCTGTTTTAATCCATTTTCCAAGATTTGGGACTTCATATATTTATTTGGAATAGAAAATTTGCAGAATGCAAGCTGGGCAGATTTGAAAATAGGCAAGGCATGTCCAATGATAGACTTTTTAGATTATAGATAGACTGGGCAGGTGTGCCTAAGTGTGCTGAGATGAGAGCTCTGATTAATGCAGGCACTGTTCGTATTAAGACACTTATCCAGTGTGACACAAGCATTTAAAGCTGCTTTGAACAATTAAGAAAATAATAATCTTTTAGAGTATTTTGGCAAGCCAAAGATGGTCCAAACAATGATTACACTAGGGTTAGGGTGGTTGAATGAAAACAGTGAGAAGTGTATCAGTATGTAAATTTTTCAACTAAAGCAACCCAAAGGACTGCCCCCTTTTCCCTGCTGGAGTGGCATCTGTTCTTCCTCCACTGGCATGGCTCACAAATTGGTCCCTTCTGAGTCTGTCTGTGTGATCCTAGTTCTTTGGGGATGTTGAACCTGATCGGATAAAATTCTTCATCTCCTTAGGAGTGCTGGCTTGCACCTTTCCTCCAGGCAAAAACCCGACTCTCTAGGGAGCCTAAGAGCCCTACAGTTGCCATTTTATAGAAAGAAAATCCCCCTTCTCTTTATCATTGCATTCAGTTTGACTCTTTTCGGTGCATGTGTGTAAGGATTAGACTGGTGGTTCTTAAACTGCTGACCCAATTACCCCCTTCTCTTGGTCCCAATGTCATTATCTCTCCCCCACCCACAAACCCCAGACTGTACCATACTGTTTTACACCATGTCCCAAATAGGACTCACAATTGCAAATTGCTCCATTACCCACTTTGTTGGGGGCAATATGCTGACTCTGTAAAGTGCTTAGAGAGGGCTGTAAAACAATGTGAAGTGGTATATAAGTCTAAGTGCTATTGCTATTACCTTCATGATAAAGCCAAATTAACCCCAGTTTAAGAACTGCTAGATTAGAGTGTGAAGTTAGACTTAGGCTCAAGAGGGTCAACAGGGATGTGTGCCACTTGAATCAATAAAGCACCCTTTACACATATGCAGTTTTTGGGAGTTTGACTGTCCAGTTGTGCCAGCTGTTTTCACATGATTGACACATTCCCCCCATCTGAATTGTGGATGCCCCTGTCCAAGACTTAAACCACATTCCATTAGTAACCTAGGACCCCTTAGACTATGTGTAATACATGCACAATCTTTTGTAGGATTCCCTTTCCCGCCCGACCTTCTCCCCATTTCTATTTTCTATCTTAGTCTGGTTATTAGATCCCAGAAGATTGGGAAAATAGGGTTGCTAATCCTGACTTACTCTTTTGAGTAGGATATGTTACAAAACATACGTGCTTTTACATATTACAGCAAACAAGTTATTCAGCAAGATGGAATAGATCTTGCACAATATGGCACACCCCGGATAAACTACCTGACTCTGTGGTTTCTTCCCCAAACCCCAAAAACTTTAACCTTAGACTGTCTACTATTGACCTCACCCCTTTCCTAAGAGGTCTGTAGGGGGCGTGCATAAGCGCACCAACATGCCTACCGTCCCTGTCCTATTGTTTCTTTCATCTTTCTTATGTGTACTCATATGTACTCATGTATTCATAGCTATGTGTATACTTATTATCTTGTAAACAATTGACAAATCAAATAAATAAAAATAAATAAATAAAATATGTGAGAACAACTGTCAGCATCTCCAACCAGACCAATGAAAGCCTCTGCTGTTTAGGGGTGATACGAATTGTAATCCTGGAAGCTTGGCATTCAGACAAATCAGCCAGAGAACATAGACATAAACCATATTTACACACCATTGAAAAGAGACAGTAAAGAAGCTAGGAAGGAAACCAAAAGACAACATATTCTCTTCAGCAGCCAACATCCAGGTAAGCAGGGATCGACACCAAACAAACAGTTAAGCAGAAAACAATACCCTAATGAAGGAACTACCAAGGAGAAGACCGCACCCCCACCAATATGGGCAGGTCAAATTACTGTATATAAACAGAAAAAAAATCCCTTACTCACACTGATTGGTGATGTTGGGTAATGGAAAATATGTAAGCAAACAACCAAGCTCAGAAAGCACCAAGAGCTCCACAGAATTGTAGTTTAGCTCATCAGCTGAATTTAGGAATATTTTCCTAAGAAACAAGATAGATATAATAGTAGTGGACTGCAATACCTATTAGCTATATGGGGAAATTAGGATTAAGATGATTCCTTAATCAAAGTAGTCTCTTCTGCTTGTCATAGTCTTATGAAAATTTTCTGTGCTGCAAGATGCCTGTTATAAAGACATTAGCTCCTGGCAGAGAGAGAATCAATGTTAACAAAACTAAGTAGATATATTATTGTGAAATAAATGTAAGTGGGGAAAAATCTATTCTTAGAAAATTGTCATGTCCTAACATTGGTGTTGTATTTTTTCATTTTGTAATTTTATCAAATATTACAATTTAAAAAATAAAAACTAATATAAAACAAAGATTAAAAAGAAGTAAAGAGAGAAAAGGAAAAGAAAATCAGAAAAATAAGAATGTGTGTGTAGTATGTATGTATATACATGCATACATACACATATACATATATGGCATCCCCCTTCATCATACATATAAGCGATTTTAGTAACCTAATACAACAAATAATCTTCCCATGTTTCATCTCTTATCTATAAATAGATCCTTAAAGCCTTGTTCAGTTCTGGTCAGCAAAAATCCATTAAGGGTTAACAGAGATAACATACCTATTTTAACCTTGGTCAAATAAACCAGTGTTGTATTCCTTCCTTTTACTTTTAATAATCTTTATCTCAAATAATGTGCTAGAATTAAATTTACCTGAACTCAACCTGGTGCTTGTAAAGAAACTTGTTCCTCCTTAGGTTCCTAATATCTGAAAAGCAATTAACAAGCAATTTCCAAAAATGATTTAAAAAGGAAATATGCAAACCCAATTCTTAAGGGTGTTGACCAAATTTTGAGCAAAGATTGATTGTACCATCTTCGTCACCTTATGTCCAATTTACAACATGCTGGAGACCAGTTTGTCTTGCAATCTCATTGCAAGGAGTAAATGTCTGGAATGCAGACATTTCAATCTCAAGACATCTCTTGTTTGGAGAAGAATTATGAAGAGCTGATCTACTCGCTGGTTCTTCATTCCATTGTGGTTGTCTACTCTGCTTTTAGTGGAGCTGTCTTCAGTTCACCACTTCTTTCCCAGAAATTCAACTAGAATTGCCTTTTTGAGCAAGCCTTTTCTTGGCTCTGCTAAGGAAACAGGTTTACAAGAATATCATTTTTTTGAGATAATTAAGAACCTAATATTCATTTTTCCGTCAGAGTTCAAGTTCCAGAGTTCACAGATTCTTATATGTGTGTGTTTATGTCTGTGTGTACCTATAGATAGTTCTTGATTTACAACCCAATAAGAGCACATTTAATGTCATTATGATCATAAATTGAGGCACCCAGATTAAGTTCTCTTAATGACAAACCCAGAACAGGATGTCTGCTAGAAAGAAGTTCCCTAAGTATGGGCTCCAGCATAAGTCCAAAAACTTGGAAGACTAAATCTCTGGTCATGGTGATTAACCCAGATTGGATCCTGCAATAAACCTATATACTCATTTGAACTTCCCGGACTCCTGATTTTTTGAACTTGATAAGACTTCCCTATTTAGATTTGGTTTACATCTTATGGTAGACCAAAGTTTGTTTAACTATGCTTGTTATATAAACAAAATATGATTAGGTTGAAAGAACATGCTAAATTTGAGTGGAGTATGTTATATTATTGCTTAGGCAGTTACATAAACCAGGGTGTGGTTGTGATCCCTAGTTATGATTTATGGGAATAGTGTTTGGAATTTCTGATGGTTGTACTTCAGATGGAAAACAGCAGATTCTAGCTGAGGCAGGATGAAGATGATGACACTGATAATGTTGCCTATATTGTACACATACACGACGCTATAGAGCCCTGCACACGAGAACAACTAGACACAAGGACAGTTTTTCCCCGAACACCATCACTCTGCTAAAAAATAATTCCTTCAACACTATCCAACTACTTACAAAGTCTGCACTACTATTACTATTAATCTTCTCATCACTCCTTATCACCCATCCCTTCCCACTTATGACAGTATGACTGTAACTTTGTCCTTTGTATCCTTATAATTTATATTGACTGTTTCCTAGTATGATTTGATTGCTTATTGTACCCTATGACTATCATTAAGTGTTGTACCTTATGATTATTAATTCTTGACGAATGTATCTTTTCTTTTATGTATACTGAGAGCATTTGCACCAAGACAAATTCCTTCTGTGTCCAATCACACTTGGCCAATAAAGAATTCAGTTCAGTACACATATTGGCTAGACATTTGGGGTATTTTTGGGAGGTATCCTTTTAAAATGGTCTTGACTCTTGAGTATCCTTTTAAAAATGCTCTATTAGCTAGATTTGGCATAGGCATCATTGTCACTAGTACATGTTATTGTATCAAAATCTGGATAATTAGTTTCATGATGAACAACTGGAAGCTGAAGAGCTTTCTACAGTTCCAGTGTTGTCTTGTAGGTTTCAGTTTGCTCTTGCCTTGGGCAGAAATTTTCTATGGCAGAAATTGTAATTTCAAACCACAAGAAGCAACGTGGCTGAAAATAACCAAGTCCAATAGCTGTTGGCCTTGATTTGGCCAATATTTCAAGGCTCACGATTGGGATAATGAGACCAATGCAGTGGTGGGATTCAATTTTTTTTTTACTGCCAGTTCTGTGGGCATGGCTTGGTGGGCATGGCTTGGTGGGCTTGGCAGGGGAAGGATACTGTAAAATCTCCAGTCAGAGGTAGTATTTGCCGGTTCTCCAAACTACTCAAAATTTCCGCTACCGGTTCTCCAGAACTGGTCAGAATCTGCTGAATACCACCTCTGGACCAATGGACCAACATTTGAGGAACCATTGTTTCCCCCATTTTATATTGTGCCAGTCCATGGACAGTCAGTCCCTGATTTATGACCCTAATTGAGCCTGGAGTTACCTTTGTAAATTGTGCTGTCATTAAGTAGCTCATCACATGAGCATGCTCGATTGTATGAACTTTTTTGCAGCAAATTTTTTCTTTATTTATTTTATTTATTTTGAGAAGCAATTATAAGATACCAGGTATATGTATAAACATAGTTATGGATACATGAAATGGATACCTAAAAGAAAAATAAAAAAGAAACAATAGGACAGGGACGGTAGGCACGTCAGTACACTTATGCACGCCCCTTACAGACCTCTTAGGAAAGGGGTGAGGTCAATAGTAGACAGTCTAAGGGTAAAGTTTTTGGGGTTTGGGGAAGAAACCAGAGTCAGGTAGAGTATTCCAGACATTGACCACTCTGTTGCTGAAGTCGTATTTCCTGCAATCAAGTTTGGTGCGGTTTACCTTGAGTGTGTATCTATTTTGTGCTCTTGTATTGTTACAGTTGAATGCAAAATGCTGCAGTTATAAAGTGATCCCTTTGGTTGTTAAGCAAATAATATGGGTGCTAAGCTAACCCACTGTTCACAAGTTGCTTAGCATCCAAAATGGAATTACATGACTGCAGGAAGAACCCAGCCATCAGAACTTTAAAACTGGTTGTTAAGTAACTTTTTGGGGGATTGGTTGTGAGGAGGCTGCCATAACTTCCAACACTTTGTAAGTGACTGGTTCCTAAGTTCCTAAACCTTTCTGCTCTTTCAGTGGCCAACCAGTTGTCTCTTTTCTTTAGCTTCCAGTACTAGAGGTAATAGAGGCAAGTAGTCCTGGACTTATAACCATTTGTTAAATGAAATTATAAGTTTTTGACAGTGGATCCTAAAATGTCCATTTATGATCTTCCCAGCCAGCTTCTGACAAGCAAAATCAGTGGGGGAACCTGGATTTGCTTAATGATCACATGATTCGCTTAACAGCTTAACTGATTCATTGAACCATGGTTAAAAAACACACTCCACATGGGACTGCACTTGAAGGGCATCCAGAAGCTCCAGTTGGTGTAAAATGCAGTGGCCCGCATGGTTTTGTGCATATCTCAGTGTACATATATATCACCTCTCCTGCGGAACTTGCGTTGGTTGCCGATTTGCTTCCAGGTGTAATTCAAGGTGCTGGTTGTCACCTTTAAAGTCCTTCATGGCTTGGGACCAGGTTATCTGAGGGACCGTTTCTTGCCAGTCACATCTACCTGACCCACCAGAGCGAGGAGGTAAGGAATGTTGTGGGTCCCATCCCTGAGGGAGATACACCTGGTGGGACCCAGAGAAGGGCCTTCTCCATGGTGGCTCCCTCTCTCTGGATATCAGAGCTTAGAACGGACCCCACTCTAACACTCTTTCCAGAAGGTGCTGAAGGCATGGTTCTGCCAGCAGACCTGGGGAACCCAGAGAGGGATGGAGCCCATTAAATGGCTTTTGTGAACTGCTATCGCTGGGGTGGGGGGGCGGGAGTGGGGCTGATCCAGTGGTGGGATTTGAATAACTTAACAACCGGTTCTCTGGCTGGGTTGGTGTGGCTGGTTGGTCATGTGACTGGGTGGGTGACATCACTCATCACACACAGCCCCGCTTCCTGGCCACTCAACTCAAAGTCAGAGGTAGGATTCAGCTAGTTGGGGCTAATCCCACCACTGGCTGGGCCGCCCCCACCCATTTTTGGGCCACTTTTAAGCTGCTTTTTGGGGGGCATTTTTGGCCCCCAAAACAGCCAAAAATACCAGACTGAAAAACAGCTGCAAAAATGGCCTGAAAAACAACCTGAAAAATGAGGGGCGGGGCAGCCAGTGGTGATATTTGCTGGTTTGCAAATCTTAACTACACAGAATCTTAACTACCTGTTTGGCCAAACCGGTATGAATCTGCAGCAGCCCACCTCTGGGGTGATATTGTTATATTGTACTATATTAATTTATTTGATTCTTTTTGATAGTTTTATTGCTTTAAATGTGGTTTTATATTCTGTAAGCCACCTTGAATCGCCATGGGCAAATAGGCGGCAATATAAATTCAATAAATAAAAAGGTTGTAAAATGGAGTTAAACCCACTTAACAATTGCCTTGCTAAACAACCTAAATTTTGGGCTACCTGTAACCATCACAACTATTAGCATTTTGTCCTTGGATTATCACTGTATGCAATATAATTATTGTAAGTAACAAAATATTAAACCTTATTCTGTTTTTTTTCCTCTAGGGAACTTCTGAATTATATATCTATAGTCATGGCAGTGTTGCTGTATGTATTTATTATATATGTCTCTGTACCATTGACTATTCGACTATTCCCTTCACTGTTACAAAAATTTGTCTACCTCAATTTTTGTAAGTATTCCTGTTGTTTTATCCACTTATCTCAATTGAAAATAGAAGTATCTATAAAGTTCTTCCTCTATGCCTGCAGTAATTCACAGATCTATTACTGATTAAGAACATTGGAAACCACTTCAAATATCTTTGTTTTTATCAACTTGACTAAGTTACTCTTTATTGAAAATATCAGATAATGCAGTTGTAACTCAAACACAGGGTGGATCTACATCTTACTCAATAAATCTATTCAAAATATTGTTGCAAAATAGTGTCTTAATAGTGTCCCTAAGGTTTCCAAATTACTAGGTTGTTAAAATGATGAATATACTTTTTACATAAACATTTTAATGAAGGATGATCACAATATTATGTTTCACTCTGTTCTCTTTTTCCTGTGTAATCAAATAAAGACAATTTTTTAAAATGCTGTTTTCTTCATTTGAATCAGTATTGATTCTGGCAGATATGTGGACAAGTGCATGGAGGTTTTTTAACAACTAAGAGGTGGGAGGGGAAGGCATTCAGCTGAAACCATGCCTAAACCAGGACTAGAACTTCCAGTTTTAAGACCAGTGCTTTTAACCATGATGCCAAGCAAGCTCTCCAAAGCCGTGCTGATAGTTAAAAGAAGCTTGTTTAAATCAAGATGGATAGTTAACAATTGCATAGCACTAGTTTCTAAACATACTCCACCAGTCAGGGGAAAAAATAAATGTGGAAGTAGGCTACAAATCATAAATAAAAGAAATGTTCTCCTTGATATTTTAATGCTCTTTAAAACAGAAAAGATGTAAAAGATACATTCAAAAAATGTATCTTACTAGCTTAATAATTACTGCATGGGGCAGGGATTTTAAGATGTTTCTCACTTGTTTCCAACTGATATTCTGATTTTCCAAAGCTGGCGCCTGCTTCAGATTATATCCATTTAAATAAACATACATTTAAAAGAAGAAATGGCCCAGCTCTGCTCTTATTGCAAAAACAGGTTGCTTTGAGACTGTGCCTTTCTTCCAGGTGTGAGCTCATGCATCTGACATATATGTTTGTTGGTCTTGTGTGAGATCTTGATCCCTTTAAATACATTTTAAAAAATGTATTTAGTGCTCATACTATTGAACAAAATCACAACAGTGCTTGGCTTATAAAAATGTTCCGGGTCCTTGATCCAAAACATCACCAGAATTGAGGTTGGATAGAATCTGTGGATCATTCTCTCTGAAGGATTTGTGGTTCTGTCCATCACAATATTATAAACTCCTAACATTCTGTGGGTGCAGGGAAAATAGACCAGTTAAAGCAATTTCAAATTTTTGACGTTTTCAGAGTCTTTGTCATGGCATAGGGAGTTGGAAATGGGAGGGGCGGTCAACTGATTTCACTAAAAGCAAACTTCATCATTATTTTCTTTTGCAGTGGCTTACCCTTTTGGAGTAGATTATAAGAACCCTGAGGTATTTCTAAAGAACACCAAAAACTTCTATCTTACCTCTGAACCAGGAGTCACTTTTGGCATTTGGTGAGTAAGGACTTGGCTCCATCAGCCTCTTTGGGATAGGTGATATGAGTTGCCATGTGCGAATAGGCGGCAATATAAATTTCCATAAATGAATGAATGAATAAATAAATAAATAAATAATAAATAAATTACAGTATATATAGGTCCAACTTGGAGTTCCCTTGGTCATGCTCACTTGAGATCAGATATGTGGCCATGAGACCATTATTTCAAAGTAAGTTTAGGACAATGTGTGCCGGCCAACTTACCATAGGACAATTCAACGCAGTATAATTCAAGAGAGGGACAAGTGAATTGCAGCTCACCCCAGCCTTGTGGACTTCTAATATGAGAAGATTCAAACCTACAGTGAGGCAAGGCCCACTGCAATTTACTTAACCCTCTCTTGAGTTATGCCACATTGAGTTGTCCCTCAATGCGCTGGCCGGGTTGAGTTGGCTACCGTGAGTCGACCGGGGCAAGTTGGCTGCAGCGAGTTGTCCCATTCTACTTCAAAGTAGCAAGGTGAGGCATTCATGGAAGAATAAACAAAGACAAGATGGGGCCACAACTGTACAATTGATCCCTGTCCTTTTATCCATGCACAAAGCATCTTTGCATGATTGAAGTTGCCACATTGATCTTTTTGACAGCTCCTGTGATAACCTTAGTAGAGACGCTACTATCGGTGTTCTCCCATTTTTGCTTTCTTTCTTTTGTTGCATGTATGAATCTAATTCTTCAGTTAATTCAGTGACCTGGTTCATTAAGCAATTTGGACAAAGGTAGCTTACTACCTTTGGACAACCAGCTTGTAAAAGATAATCTCAGCTGCAGAAGGAGGGACGGCATGGGAAACATTTCAGAAGTGATCCTCTCTAGTTTTCTGGAGAGTAAAAGGAAACAAGGGGAGAAATATTTTCAGACTTGCAAGATTAATGTTAATGTAATCTTACAATAAATGTAAAGTTAATACTTCTGAGGTTGGCTTGTCTGGCCTACCTTGGAGGACTAAAAAGAGGCCTGTCTGATCTGTTGGCTTCCTGTCTTAGGTATGCTCTAGCAGAAAACAGATGGAAGGAAGCTGAAGGAAAAGACTTCAGCTGGTATGAAGAGGCCCTCACAGATGATAACCCCATCATCATCTATCTCCATGGCAATGGGGGTACCAGGTGAATTTCGTACTCTCAGCAGAAACATTAGTGCTGAGATTATCCTATGTGATCTATGTTGGGGTGGTAATCCAGGGAGGGAGAAAGTGGCTTCAAGTCTCTGCTGGGTTGAGAAGCAAGGACCTCACACCTTCTGAATTTTTTATCGCTAGTTGCCAGCTTTCTTAACTTGTAATATGGCAATCCCATAAAATGATGAATTAAGTTATATGACTTTCCTTTTTTGTAGTAATTTTATTAAACAATTCAATTAAAAAGATAAAAACTAATTCAATAAAACTAAAAGTGCAGAAAAGTAAAAAACATACAAAAAAACAGAAAAGGGGGAAAAAAACCAAGATTATAGTAAAAAAAATGGAAACATATGAAGAAATACTTCCTCTCTAATGACAAGTGTAAACAATTTTAATAACTTATCACTTTCTGTTAAAATGCAGTGAATTCTCTTTTTTTCTTATCTATAAATGATCCTTAGTCCTGGTTAACAAAAGACCATGAAGGGCTACAAGAGATAACCTATCTGTTTTAACTTTGATCAAATAAAACAACTTTATATTCTTTCCTTTTACTTTTGACAATCTTGTTTTTTATTCCATTCAAATAATATCCTAGAACATAATTTCTTTTGATTTTTTCTTTCTCCCTTGTCCCAAAAATTTTCAAAGCTTTAATATGTTTCTTTTATAGAGCTAATGTAAGAATGTTATCCAAGTCACTCTTTGGGTTTGTTATATGTATATTCATTATAATTATTACAGTATTAGCCAGTTTCATTTATATATTTTACAAAGATTCTTTTTCCATTTAATTCTTGTAATCTGTAATTTTTAAAGCTATTTTCAAATCACTATCATTCTTATCCAGTAAAAATTGTTCCTCTTCTATATCATCTTTTAAACAGAGTCCACCCATAACGATAGATACTCTTAAAATTAACTTTTGGCTTCCATTAAAAATATCCGACAATGTTAAATATTTTGCTCCATTCTGTATCAGTAAGTCAAATTTAAGCAATCCATTTTAATTGTAATCTTTGTAGTACATTCAATCTTATCCAACAGCATTTGTTGTTTTGAATGGGAATGATTCTTGTAATTAATTTCAAATCTTATTTCAAATCCATCTGGATCCTTAGTCCATTTCCAAAATTACCTTTTTGCAAAAAATGATTTTTTTAAAGTCCTTACACTTGTATTTGAAACTTCTTTCACTAAGGATCGAAGGAAAACTACCTGTCAATCTGTAGGCTCCTAATATCTGAAAAGCAATCAACAAGCAATTTCCAAAAGTGACTAGAAAGAAAGCAGGTGATCCTCTGTGTCCATAAACACTCCAACTATGGTTTAGGGCAGTGGTTCCCAAACTTTTTCAGTCCACTGCCCCCTTGGTGCTACAAACTCATCCTCGGTGCCCCCCACCCAGGGGTGGGATTCAAATTTCTGTGGGCATGGCCTAATTTGAGGGTGTGGCTTGCTGGTCACGTGACTGGGTAGGTGTGGCTTGCTGGCTGGGCATGGCTTGCTGGTCACATGACAGGGTAGGTGTGATTGGTGGTCATGTGACTGGGTGGGCGTGGCCAGGTGACTGGCAAACCAAATACAAGTGGTCCTCACTTAATGGCCGGTTGTTTAGCAAGTGTTCTAATTTATGACTGGCCTCCCCAGAGATACTTGACCCGTTTGGGAGTTTTGACAGCCATGCACACACATACATGTGACACACTCACTTCTAACCCTGCTGGAGCAGGTCATTGCACTAGAATTGGCAAAGCATCTCTGATTAGATTCTAGCAGTGAATAAAATCTAATCAGAGATGCTTTGCCTATTCTTGTTGATTTGTTTTATTTGTATCTCTTTATTTTATGTTGCTGAATTTCATTGACATGTGTGTCCCTTCTTGTGCACAACCCAGAAGCTTTTATGATTCTTTGCAGCAAAAATTACTGACCTCTGGCTTTGCTCTACTTTTCAAACATGCCGACACTGCCGCATTCTAGGTGCCGGCCCCACAGGTCCACCCCATTGAGCCCACTGCATTGGAGGGACCTGCCCAAGCAAGTCAAGTCAATGGGGTGAGCCTGAGAGAGGGAAAGAGAGAGAAAGAAGAGAAAGAAGAGAGAGAGAGAGAGAGAAGGGAGGAAGGAAGAAAAGAAAGAGAAAAGGGAAAGAAAGAAAAAGGGACAAAGAAAGATGGGGGATAGAAGGAAGGGACAGAAAGAAATAAAGAAGGAGGGAGGGAGGAGAAAGATAATGAGATACCTATTCTAGTCCAATCACCTGCTCCAGCAGGGTTAGAAGGGAGTGTGTGTGTGTGTGTGTGTGTGTGTGTTCTCCTTGTAATTTACCAGTACATTTTGGTTTTGCCTTCTTCAGAATTGGCACTGTAATATATTGGGGAAAAGTAATTTTTAGGGTGGAGGTCTGGTCCAATGGATCCTGTTTAAAGCCTCAACAAAGTGTGAGAGTTTCCTGATAGTCTTGACCATGTTTTGTCCAAAACCTTTAATAGAAGTCAAAGATGTTTCAATGTGCTGGCAAAGATGTTTCAATGTGGAAAAGGGCCTCAGTCTAAACTAGGCCTCATTTCAATCAGATGCATCAGGTCTCTCTCTCTCTCTCCCTCTCTCTCTCTCTCCCTCCCTCCCTCCCCGACTGGCTTTGCTCTACTTTCCCAATGTGCCTGAGGGGCTGGTGCTTCGAACATGGATGGATGGATGGGTGGATAGAGAGAGAGAGAGAGAGACAGACAGACAGAGAGAGACAGGTAGGTCGGTAGATTGGTAGATAGATAGGTAGATAGGCAGGCAGACCTCTTGGATGAATGTATGGATAGGTAGGTAGGTCAGTAGATTGGTAGATAAGTAGGTAGGTAGGTAGATCTATATTGGTAGATAGATAGGTAGGTAGACAGACAGACAGAAACACAGGTAGGCAGGCAGACAGGCAGGTAGGTAAGCAGGAAGGCAGGCAGGCAGACGTTTTGGATGGATGGATGGATGGATGGATGGATGGATGGATAGATAGATAGATAGATAGATAGATAGATAGATAGATAGATCTATATTGGTAGATAGGTAGGTAGGTAGGTAGGTAGACAGAAAGGCAGGCAGACAGACAGGCAGACCTTTAGGATGGATGGATGGATGGATGGATGGACGGACGGACTGACAGAAAGAAAGAATTCGACAGCGGTGGCACTTTGAGAAAGTAGAGCAAAGCCAGATTGGGAATTGAAGTCCACACAAGTTGCCAAGGTTGAGAAACACGGGCTGAATATATCAACCCAGCCATTCTGGTTCAGAGTTTAGCATGCTGTTTGATTCCGGCTTAGGCAATGAATAAACCATGGCTAAGATCTTCCTGCTCCTTAATGCAGCTGCCCCTCTGCCCCCCCTCCAGCCCCCTTTGGCATCCAATTTTGCAATGCCAACCTCCCCAGGGCAGCGATGCAGCTGACCTCACCCTCTTTGCTTCAACCCAAGGTCCACTTCCATAGGACCAAGCAAGGGGAGGTACTCTGCACACGCTCAGAGACTCCCAACTTCATTGAAGCGTTCCACCCATCTTTATGCTCCGCCTGGGAGGAGGAAAGCGTGCGGAAGCAGCCCAGACCAGCGGAGCAGAGGGAACAATCGTTTGGAAACTAAGCAAGCAAGCACAGGGCTTGGTTGGAAGAACCGGGCTGCAGAGGGAGGCTAGGTTCTAGGTCCGGGATGGCCATGTAGAGCCGAACCGAACTGAGCCACGCGCCTTGGAGAGCCGCAGCTGCCCCCACCCACATCCTGTGCGCAAGCCCAGCTGGCTGGAGAGATGGAGGCCGGGTGGGCACTGTATACTCCCTTGTTCTCCAGGGAAGTGGGCCCTAACGCTGGACCACCCACCCCTTTCACTGCGCGCCTTGGGAGGGTTTTGCTTTCGGGCCTTCTGGCACGCCTCTGCCACTTCCACTGGAGAGGGCAGTCTGCAGGCTAAGGCGCCCTCTTTCCACCACCTCCCACCTCCCCCGCACCCAGGCTTGGCAAGGCTCACCGTGCACGGGTTCCACATTTGAGGTGCCAGCTATGGAGCGATGAAACAGTCAATGGGCTGCAGCGCCGGCAGTCAGGGAGTCTGCGGGGCCGGCACCTCGAATGCCCCCCTGCCACATCTTAGCACCTCCCTGCTGGCCCCCTTGCCTCTTACCACCCCCCTAAGGCATCCCACCCACCCCCAGGGGGCGGTACCGCCCACTTTGGAAACCACTGGTTTAGGGAAAGATTGCATTCCCTTATCTCCTAGAGTACTAAATTCCCTGAAGACTGCTATCTTCTAGTCTCCTTGTGAGGAGCAATTCTCTGGAACATTTGTGTGTGATCCCAAGTATCATTTTACTGAAACAGATGAAGTAACAAGAATTTCAGCCTCTGTGAAATTCGGGAGTCTAAAGACAGGAAGACTGGGAAAGGCACATGGCTGGAACAATGTAGGACAAGATTAAGGGCTGGTTCTGGCGAACAGAACAGATAAGAAGTTCCAATTCTGTGTCATCCTCAGAATCTCCCTGCTTCCAAATAATGTTCACTGAATTTTCTCTCTGCATTTTCCCTAGGATTAAGCAAGAAAAGCTTTGGAGGAGTTGAGCAGTGACTTCAGAGGCAAACCTCTTGTGAAATCTGAGGTCTTGTACAAGGCTAATAATGTATTTAGTTCCTTTTGCATTTAAAATGATAACCCTGGGAATAGTGACAGCCAGGATTTGGCATTCATAGTCATTACGAAAAATGCTGGAATTATGCTCATCAGGGCTTTTATTGTCTGGAGGAGGACTGAGCAAATCCTCTCTCTCTCTCTCCAAGCACTGTTCCAGCTTCTTTTTCAAAAATGCAGGCACAACCTAGCTACAGCCTGGGAAATGCATCTGGTTTCTCATCCAGCAAGATGTATGAATACCCAGAGGCCCCTTTCTGCGTAAACAGGAGTCATGATTGACATGTTAAAAGAAAAGGAAGAGGAAAGAGATGGTTTTCATCCTTTATCTTGCAGAGGTTTTCATTATCTCTTTGTTGGCAAACAAAACCTTGTTTGTCTTAGCAGAGGTTCTCATAACACCTGCTCATATTTGCAAATAGTGAGTCAGTTGCATTTATTTTGCAGATTTAGTTCTCTCTCTCTCTCTCTTTTTGTAAAAGTCTGCAATTTTTATTAGTCTTTTTAGTGGCTTCTTTCAGTTGTTTAATTACTGTGTTTTATTTATGATATAATACTACTTAAATGCATGTTTAGCGACAAGAATATCAGTTCAAATTTTCCAACTGGAAATAGAAATTAGAGAAACTTCATAGCTCACATCCAAGAGAAGACAAAGGAGAATTTAAAGGGGAGTTGTATAAGATTCTCTAAGGCAAACTTAGAATTGAGTTCCCATTATTTTATTCTCCTTCACAGGTTTTGTTCTTTTGAAACAGCTGAGAGATGCTTGTTCATATATGCATTCTTCCTTTCCCTTATAACTAAACAACATTAAAATCTATGTAAAAAATATTTAAAAACCATTGTATACATGTGGGGAGAAATAGATTGATGACATTACAGATCCCAGTCAATTAGTACCATCTATTAGTTGTCTTTTCACCAATTCAGGCTGACTCCACTGTCAGTTTAAAGAATTTCTTTTATTGGGCAATATAATATTTCATAAAATAAATATAATAAAACAATGCCTTGAGTCAGATATTCCCAATGTAGTCAGGAATCAATGATGCTGCAGGTTAGGCCTCATACAATTATCTCCATAAACGGCCTGCCCACATGTACTACAAATACAATTTCTTAAATCTTATAAATGCTGCCTGGTTTTGTTCATATTTGAAATCTTGAAAAAAAGTTTAGTGTTGGTTCCCTAAACTGTACAAGACTGAATAGGGGAACACAAAATTGTTCAATGATCCCACAGAATTTCATCATTCTACTTTCTGAATGGAGAGTCACAAATGCTGTGTCAGTGATATACACAGATACCAAGATCATTTGTGGTGGTCCTCAGAAAAGTTTTTGATGATGATGAGGTTTGTCTGTTCATATGTTTACATACCTAGTTGAAGAGAGAGGTGATGCATATATAAATTGGTTTAATAAATAAGTAAATAAATCATTAACAAGCTTGATACTTATTTGTTCTTTTTTTCAACACAAAGAAGGAAGTCAGTTTCTGTGGTGGGCATGTCCAACCAATGGGCTGCATGTGGCCCTGTATAGTTAGTAATGTGGCCCCACAAGACCATAAACTTTTAATGGTATGTTTAGTGATATTTAGTGACATTAATTACATTATATATTTTATATGTAGCCCAAGACAATTCATCTTAACTCAATGCAGCCTAGGCAAGCCAAAAGGTTGGACATGCCTATTCTACAGAGTCTAATTATACCTTTTTATGTTGACATATATATTACTGAGTAAAAACTAACTGTACCTTAGTTGCCTACAAGTTCTTGACTTGCTGTTGGAGCTTGGTTTTCTTCTTTCAGTTTTATTTTTTTAATCAGCCAAGGGAACATCATCAGTGCAAGGTTTTCTAACTCACTTACATTAAAATACCAGTTGTTATGGAAAAAATGATTCATTTCTTTCCTTTTCCCCCTCAAGAACCATTCATGAAATAAGAATTTTAAAATAAAGCCAACAAATATTCTGAGGACATCAATACACCTTGCCCAATCTGATGCCCTCCAGTTATATTACACCTTAATTCCTGTATTTGTTAGGCTGCGTGGCTGCACTGGAAGCCAAGACAGCTGGAGGGCACCCAGTTGGTGGAAGGCTATCAAAGAACATCTAAAGAGCTTGGCTGCTGAATCAGACCAAATACTCACCTAGACCAGGATTCTGATGATCATAAAAGTTAAGTAGATGCTTCTAGAAGCAGTGAAGTAGGCAGCTACAGCATCCTTGTTCCTTAAGTATTTTGCAGTAGTTAATTTCTAAATTCTCTTCCAGGGCAACAAGTCACCGAATTAGATTCATAAAGGTATGTATTAAATAATCTGTGTCTAGTTAAGTTGGTCTGGACTACAGTGCCTTTGTTTTCACAGATCCATACCTATTTATTCTGAGATTGGCTAGCTTTATTTATTTATTTTATTTATTTGATTTGTCAATTGCTTGCAAGATAATAGGTATAAGTATACACGTAGTTATGAATACTATGAAATGGATACATATAAGAAAAATAAAAAGAAACAATAGGACAGGGACGGTAGGCACGTTGGTGCGCTTATGCACGCCCCCTACAGACCTCTTAGGAAAGGGAGGAAGTCAATAGTAGACAGTCTAAGGTTAAAGTTTTTGGGTTTGGGGGAAGAAACCATAGAGTCAGGTAGAGTATTCCAGAGATTGACCACTCTGTTCCTGAAGTTGCATTTCCTGCAATCAAGTTTGGTGTGGTTTACCTTGAGTTTGTATCTGTTGTATGCTCTTGTATTGTTATGGTTGAAGCTGAAGTATTCATTGACAGGTAGGACATTGCAATGTATGATTTTATATACCATACTTAGATCGGACCGAAGGCGGCTTACTCGTGAATGTGTCAGCCTTAAGGGCAGAATTAATAATTTTCTTGATATCCTAATGCTTCCATTTTAGCTACCTGTTCTGTGCATTCCTTTTCACTGTCTGGGACTGAGGGTCTTATTCTTAGCAGTTACATAACAAATTATGTACTTTGAACTTCCTACTGCTAAATCTGCAAATACAGATACTTTCATTGTTATTTTTAAACTGCATGACAATAATTTGTAGTCTCTATAAATGACTAGCAAGGCAAGTTGCTGTGTATAAATAATCAGCAAATTCCATTCCCTCATATATTGATAATGTTACACAACTTGGTAACATCTGCAGGAAATCGACATCAGCAGAAAACACCAAGAACCCAACAGTTGGCTGGATTATCCAGATATGATATGGATACTTATGCAAATCCTTTTAGAAGTGGTTTATAGATTGTAGTTTACAAGGGACTCAACCTTATATTGCCCTAAACCCCAGCACAAATATGTCCTGGTAATTATTTTTATATGGCGTATCCTCAATGCCTTCATCCCATCCTCAGCCCACCACTTCAAAGGTTGAGGACCGCTGGTTTATACAGTACCCACATATTATGAACCACAGCTTTCTTCTAAATAGGTGGGTGGACAATATTCTAATTCCAACCCTACCCTACCCTACCCTGCCCAACCCAACTGCATTATGCATAAATGATAGTGTGAATGGCCTTGAGGAACAGGAGGAAGAGCTGCTGCCAAGGCAGTGGTCGGATAAAAGGAGCACATGTGGGTTGGAATGTAACTGAACAAATGTCTCTGAGAAGACTCTCCCTAGGTGTTGTAAAGATAAAAGGAGGGAGGAGGGAAGCACATTCAGACTTCAAGTTTCTGTTGTTCCAGGTAATACCTGATTTGCAACAGTTCATTTAGTGACCAGACAAAGTTACAAAAAGTGAACTTATGACAGTTTTTCACACTTAACGACCATTGCAGTATCCCAATGGTCACTTGATCAAAATCCGGATGCTTGGCAACGGTTTCTATTTATGACGGTTGCAGTGTCCCGGGGTCACATTTGTGACCTTCTGACAAACAAAGTAACAGAAATGTTGGGCTCAATTGTAGTCATGCGTTCAGGATTACTTGTCTAGCTTTATCAAAAAAAATAAAAAAGTAGTGCTGATCTACATGACACTGGCTTCCTAGTCTGATCTCCTGGAAGGGTTGATATTATGTCTTAGTGGTAGGGTTTTGTGAATAGCTCACTTTGTTTTGGGATATGACTTTCTTCGTTTTAGAAAGTTGTTTGTGTTTGAATGCAGACAATGAGTGGTGGCGGCTTCCATGTTTTTGCTGTGGACTACAGAGGTAAGGTTCAAGGCAAAGTTGATTTCTAGGTGTTGATTTCTAGGAGTATATTCCCCTCTAATTTGCCTCATGATTTCTCCAAGGCTACGCAGACTCCACGGGTAATCCTAGTGAAGAAGGCTTTACAACAGATATTCTCTGCCTTTACAACTGGGTGAAAGCAAGGAGTGGAAACAGCACAATCATCCTCTGGGGACATTCCCTGGGCACCGGGTAGGTTTGTTATTTCTCCAGTGCAAGAGAAAATGTTTCTTTCCATCCGATAGCTCACTATGAATTGGACATTGGTGCATGTGTGCATGCGTATGAGTGCACATTTTTTAAAAATTCTTAATTCCACCCCCTCCCAAACCAAGCCACTATAGCATTATCAAAGGAAGTCTTAAAAGGAATATATAAGCTATGGATCAGCAGTGCAAATCCTGATGAATTTCAACTTCAGTAGTATTTTAAAAGAAAATCTTTTTGAACTCTAAAACACTAAAATAGCTAAAATGTACTAAGCACTGATTTCAGAAGCTTTCAGTGGATTTGAGAAGGGGGCTCTGTGGCAGTCATGAAATAAGTTCATGCTTGTTTAGCCCAGTGGTTCTCAACCTCTTCTTCACCATGGAGCCCTTTTGTGGCCACAGATCACCAATAAATGGTTAAATATAACATTTCTCTGTGATGACATTGTGGTCCTCCCAGGGTTCTGCAGACCACAGGTTGAGAACTACTGGTTTAGAAGGTTTGATCAAGGCAGTAGCTCTTCCCTAATTTATGCCAAAACAAACAACATGGATGGGACTTGCTTCAGAATAGATAATGTTAAGACTTTTTCAATCCTCACTCATTCTTCTTTCCTTGCAGAATTGCTACCAATACTGCCAGAAGGCTGAAAGAACAAGGTAACTATTATATGAATGGACAAGATAACATTTCTCACTGAATTGTTGTGGAAGATTCTGTCTCTTTTTGCATTGTCCATATGATCTAGAATACGAGTGTCAAACTCCCAGAGTCACACTGCCATCACGTGATGTATTATGATGTTTTCCCCCTTCATGGAGCTGGGGTGGACGTGGCCTGTGTGTGACTATCCAGTTTGACACCCCTGACTTAGAACTTGACAACTTTCAAATACTGTATATGGACTTCAACTCCCTTCAAGTTCTGGGAGTTGATGTCCACAAATGTTTGAAAACCACTGGTTTACACAAATAGCATATTGGAAATGTGCTAAAGCTGGTTAAAAAAAATAGATGCGGAGGGTAAATAGTGTAAAATATCTGGAACACTGGTCCTGACAGGCATGCAGTAGCTGGCAGGAGAATTCTGGGAATTAAAGTCCAAACATCTTAAAGTTGACAAGTACCAAAGGTGCTTTTTCAAAAGGCAGCTGAACTTTCTGGTTTTTGTTTGGAAGATGTTCCACTTCTCATACAAGAAGTTTCTTCAGCTTTGTTATGATTGAGTTACCAGAATACTGCTAAGAATCTGTAAAACATAATATTCCTTCCTTCTTTAATGTTCACTTTCCAGGTCCTTATAGCTTCTTCTCCAATCTCTATCAGCTTAATGAAAATGGCACAATTATATAGGTTATCTACATAATTGTAGGTAATGTATACCTCTCCTCCAGGTGTATAACGGCAGATCCCAAGTGCTTAATCAAATATCAAACATTTTTTCTCTGCAAAATTGGCTTGGGGGTGAGTTTATTGCAAGGGGAAGTCAACTTATTTGTTTGCATCCTACCTTTCTTATTTTTACAAATAACCAAGGCCACAAACATATCCAACACGTCTTCTGCCCTCTGTTTTCCCGGAGGGAAAACAATAACTCTGTGAAGTGAATAGGTCTGAGAAAAAAATTAACAGACCCAAGATCACCAGCTGGCTTTGATGGTTAAGGCAATTCATGATCTGCCGGTTTCTAACCTCCTGACTTAATCACTAGATCAAACTGGCCTTATAAACCCTGACACTTTTTACTATATCCCAAGGACATTTTTGGCCAACATAAAGCACAAGGGGGGGGGGGAGCTACAATATATGTTTAACACTGTTAACAAGTATAATCCAGATATCCACAAACAACAAAAAAGTAAAATCTGAAAATGTAATGCATGATTATGCATGTTACCCATTCATGCAAACTGCCTTCCCCAACATCATTACTTGTTGCACATACACCAAAATACTGCCCAGTTGTGTGTGTGTCTGTGTCTGTCTGTCTGTCTGTGCTCTCGGTTGCCTTAGTGGCCCATGCACCTTTTTGTTATCTACATTACAGTTTGGATCTTTCGCTTGAGCACTTTGCAAGTGCTTTGAGGGCAAGGTTTTTATTGTGCGACATGACTGCCATCTTGACTTTTTTGACACCCCTGGCAGTTATCTCTGCCTATGAAGAATGGGACAAGCAGTTCTTACCTGTTTCACTTACTTCTGCTGTTTGAGCATGTTAACACTTTTGCGATGCATTTTTCTCACTGGCTCTATCATTGTTGAATGGGAAAAAAAATGGGAAAAGGCGCCGGGCATGTTTTCCATTGCCAAATTGTGTGCAAATTGCCCCAGTGTTTCAAGCAAAAGTGTGCAATCCATTGCTTTTGGGCTCCTTTGGCTGTGGTTTCAGAGCTCTTGTAAAATCTGCCATCAGATTGTAGTTTTCAAGATGCTCAAATGGGAAAATCATGACATTCCCGGAGTGTAATTGTAATAATTGCATTGAATTAATTTCATACAAACATATTTAGTTTTGTTTAGCTCCACCTACTCTACCGCCTATTTTGGAAGCCTATCCTTCAAGATCTTCCAGTTTAGAAAAGCTGAGAGCAGCAAGAGTTAAAGAGATGGGAGGAATGTCAGTAGCAGTCTTAATTTTTCAAGAAAAATGTGGATAAGTAGAGAATAGTTTACGATAAAACTCAGCTCCTGATGAGAGTGTTTTGGATGGCTAATTCAGCCTTCTCCCTTAATCCAGCTTCTTTTGGATGGTTAATTGGGCCTTCTCCCTTAATCCTGTTTCTTTAATCTGATGTTGACATTGTGGATTTATATATTCAGCCTTGAGACTTTGATATACTTTGTCTCTGCTAGACCAGTGTATCTTGTTTCTCTGGTTTTTAGTTTAGTTTACTTTATGTTATCGCACCTTGTACAATGAAATTAAATACCATCTTCAGTGTACTTTATGACTATGAAAATAAACACACTCATCCTTCACATTCTATACATTGAATTGAAAACCCCTGATATTGCATTAATATTGCACTATACAGTAGAATTCAGTAGAGTTACTGCCCTTGGATAGAAGCTGTTTTTCAGCCTATTTGTCCTTGTTTTTACTATCCTGTACGTCTGCCGGATGGTAATAGTTTAAAAAAAGGGTGCCCAGGATGAGATGGATCTTTGAGAATGTTTTGAACTTTCTTAAGACAGCAGGAGCTATAAAGCTATAAAGTAGAGCATTGCACTACTATTACTATTAATCTTCTCATCACTCCTTATCACCCATCCGCTCCCACTTGTGACTGTATGACTGTAACGTTGCTTGTATCCTTATGATTTATATGGACTGTTCCCTAGTATGATTTGATTGCTTATTGTACCCTATGACTATCATTAAGTGTTGTACCTTATGATTCTTGATGAATGTATCTTTTCTTTTATGTAGTGAGAGCATTTGCACCAAGACAAATTCCTTGTGTGTCCAATCACGCTTGGCCAATAAAGAGTTCCATTCTATTCTGTTCTGTTCTGTTCCGTTCCATTCTGTTCCACTCCACTCCACTTGTCATACCCCTGGTGGAGTCTGACTCTGAGGAAGAGGAGGAACAGCCAACAGGGAGTGGGAGTGTGGCTCCAGAGGTGGTGGAGGAGGCTGGGGAAGGGCAGAGGCCGGCTGAGCAGTCAGAGGAGGATCCAGGCCCATCCCCTATCCATCCTAGGTCACACAGGGAGGAGAGGATCAGGGAAAAGTGAGGTCTACTCAAGAGGAGATTACCATGATCCTCCTTGTGGCTTGCAGGTGGGAGCTATGTATATAAGTTTTCAACTGCCCAGTGAGAATTGCTGAAGTTAATTAGTGTTCACCTTGAAAGAGCTTTATCTTTTCTGGCGTTCTTCCCATGGACTTTTCTCAGTTATTTTCCTGGAGTTTATGATTAGTTATCTTGGCTTGCTTCGGAACTCTCATCAATGCGGTTTGTTTTGGATTTCTGTTTGCCTCATTATTTACTTTTGTGACTTAAAACTGTGCCTAATAAAACAGTGAAGTTAAGTTGAAGGCTTTACCGGACTTTAATATATGTTTGGGGTTTTGGGTTATTTTGAGAGACTACAGGTCATCACTCCACTCCACTCCACTCCACTCCATTCCATTCCATTCCATTCCATTCCATTCTTTTCTATTCTATAGCTCTTCCAAAGAGTGGAGAGGGCAATCAATGATCTTCTGGGCAATGACATTAACTGGAGTACTGTCCTATCTGCCACTGTGCAATTGGCAATCCATACACGGGTTTTCAGGAGGAGGGCTTTAGTCTCGGAAAACAACCTGCTCCTCTTTTGTTCCTTTCCATTGATTTTTGTTTTTCTAATAAAATTCCCTTCTTTTTTTTTTCCTCTAGAAGGTATCATAGTAGATGCAATCATCCTGGAGGCTGCTTATACCACCATCCGGGATGCAGCTGCCACCATCCCAATGTCAAAAGTAAGTCTTGGCACTCTTATTTTTAGTTCCACATATACTTTTGGCACTTTTTATGTGGCAGCCTGCCAAGCTGTTGCAAAAATATGTGCCTGGCTCATATGAATTTTGAGAATACCTGCAGTTGGGTCCATCTAGGGGACAACCTGGACTTATGGGTTCCTGCAGAAGAGAAAATAGATATCAGAACAAAACTGGAAGAAGGAAAAGGAATTGGGTCATTCCTGATGTTGCTGAACAAAAACTCTGACCTGCCGTAGACTCGTATAGCAATGAAGGATGCTGGGAATTGTAGTTCAGCTACAATTGAAAAGTCACATTTATGTTCCAAGGATCTTCCATATTGTATGAAATGTGTTTAGCAAAAGAAAAAGGATTCCTGATAAGAAGAATAATGTATATTTCTCCATTAATATTCTTACTTTTGTTATTAAGAACAAAATAGGTACTAGATTTTCAGCATATATGTGATAACAACGTATCCTTGAGTGAGGGAGTATTGCATCTTGTTCTCAAGAAACCATTGCTCAATCCAGATTATTATCAATTAATATCCTAACTTTTCTTTTTTGGGGAAAATTGTTGAGAAAACAGTGGGGGTTGCAACTGCAGAGAGCCCTGGAAGAAACAGGTTACACAGAACTATTTCAGTCAGGTTTCAAATCTGGGTAGGGCACCGAGACCACATGGATCACACTTGGTAGCTGATCTCTGGCTGGCAAAGCTGGCATGGGGGAAATCACACAATTCCATGTTGCTTGAGCTGGGTGAGGTCATCTACTGACATGATATCAGCCTTATTTCTTTACTTCTCAGGTCAGCCAAGGAATGCTGTTGATGTGCTGGAGGTTCTTAGGGTCTGGTTGAGGAAGAACAGGTGGAAGCTTAATTTTATCAAAATAGAATGGCTCTGCACTCATAAGCCATTTCAGTCTGTAGATATTCCATCTTTAGTTGTAAATGAGATTGCATTCCCTACATAGACCTGGGCCATAATTTGGAGGTCCTGCTGTACTCACAGCTGCTGCTTGAACAGGTGGCAGCATTGGCCAAGAGGCCTTCCACCTTATGTCCCAGTAACAATGTTCATTGGGGTGGGAGACTTTACAATGTCCTTTGGGATGGGAGATTAAAATTTATGTCATAATCACCTCTTGTTGGAATGCACTCCACATGGGCTTGCAATTAAAGAGCATTGGGAAGATATAGTTACTCCAGAACGCAGCAATTTAAGTTATGTTAAATTAAGTTATGCTCTATGCTTTGTTCTATGTAGAATAAAGAATCCTAGGGGTGAAAAGGACCTCAGAGATCTTCTAGTCCAACACCCTGCCCAAGGCAGTAAACCTTATACCATGCTGCTTAAAAGGTTGTCCAGTCTACTTTTGAAAAACCCCAATGATGAAGCCCCCACAAACTCCGGGAGGCAAGTTATTCCATTGATTAATTGTTCTCACTGTCAAAAAAAAAAAAATCTCTTTAATTCTAGGTTGGATCTCTCTTTAACAAGCATCCATCCATTACTCCTTGTCTTGCCCTCTAATGCTTAGGAGAATAACTCAGTCCCTTTGGGGGACTGTCTTCTCCCACTAACATTTGCCTGCCCAATAAGATCAAGTAAGGCAGGTTCATTCTGGGTCCCCTCTCTCAGAGCTTGCCAATTGTAGAGATCTTGGAAGTGAGCCTTTCATTTTTGGATGCCATTGCCTGGAATATCTTGCGTACAAATATCCAAAAGGCCCCAGCCCTCCTGATAGTTAGAAAGTCAATTAAAACAGTCTGTAGAGAATCTCAGTCATCAAAGTCCATTACAACAATTTTCTGATGAGGAATGATGGTTTAATTACTGCTCCATTCAGCATGGTACTTCCAATTTTTTCATTCCTCCCCCCCCCCCCCCCATATTATGTTTAATTTTGCTTTTCGTCTGAATCTGTGAAGATGGGAATTGCATGCTGCTCAGAGTTAGTTTACCGAAGTGGCACATAATCATTGTAAACAAACAACTAAATCAAGGTATTTCTTATAGCAGTTGACAAAGGAGTTTCCAGAATGGAAAATGTCTTTGCTTGTTTTCTTTAACCAGATCTATCGCAAGTTTCCTGGCTTTGAATATTTAATTTTGGACAGCATGGCCCGAGGTGACATGTACTTTCTGAATGACAAAAAGTGAGTTCAGAGTTACACAATCCCAAACTATGTGGTATGTGCCAGGTTCTGGAATACTGTTCTGAGAACTGACTTTATGCTGCAATCAAATGTTAGGCTTGATTTGCTTCCTTCAAAATGGTAGATCCAGTGGCATTTGCATAGAGGGAGAGATTGACAAATGTCACTATGCAGTATGCCAGCCCTGCCCCTTCTCTGTGCGTCTGGAGATATTACACACTTGTCCAAAAGAGAAAGACATCAGTGTGACAAAAGCAACAAGATCCTGCAGACACTCTTGGTTGAATATGGCAGCATCTGAAGGCATAGATTCCACCATTTGTCTGCTGGCCCTGATAACTTGATATACAACATTTTTGTGATATTCAGGAGAGGAGGAATAGAGAAGAATCAGAGTTGGATGAACTCAGGTGGGAGATAGGCTTGATCAGTGATTTGAAATCCACTGTCTGGATTCTGTATTCAGGAAAGATGGGAAATTCAAGATACTGGGATGCTGAAGGCACAGCTGCAAATAAGTTGTACTGTTGTGGAAAGAAAAATGAGTGACTTTTAAAATTTTTAAACATTTCTGAAGTGTTTTCCTAAGTTAAGAGCTCTTCCTACAAGGGTGAGGAGTCCTTGGTGCTCTCTGAGCTTGGTTGTTTTCTTGCAGATGTTTCATTATTTGTCTGAAGTGGTGTAGGGTTTCTTGCCTAAGCAGGGGGTTGGACTAGAAGACCTCCAAGGTCCCTTCCAACTCTGTTATTCTATTCTATTACCGGAACTAGGTAACTAGTAGCACTGATGATGTTATTTAGTTTGAGTAATGAAACGTCTGCAGAATAAAACAAACTCAGAGAGCACCAGGGGCTCTTCATTTCAAACCTGAGCTACAAATACTATTCTTTATTGGTCCTATAAAAGTGGATTTCTCTCCATCTTTGGAGTGGGAGAGCTATGTAATCCTATGACTTCATGAGATATTTTGCCAGGAAACAAAGGGTAACAGCCCACAATGACTTAAGGTCTCATTAATGGTTAAAAATGTTACTCAACTACTTGAAAGACAGTTTTTGATTGAAAAGCAGGATGAAGATCTCCAAAAACAGTTGAATTGAGTTAAAACATTGTTTTTCTTGTCCATAGTGTCAAAGTGTTATCTAGTCCTATTTTGATCTTGCATTCAGAAGATGACTACATGATACCTGTACAACATGGAAGAAAGGTAACTAAACAGTAACTGCAGTCAATTACTCTTTTAAAAGGGTTATACATATATACAGTATAAAGGAATAATATACAAAAATATAGATATCTTTCTATATGTATAAGCTATATAAGTGGAAAGTCACTGCATATAACAACAGGTTTTGCTTTTCTGCTAATGGTGAATTGTACTTTTGCAGCATGCATCATCAATATACTTTTATGTTTCCATAGCAGTCTTGGAAAAAAATGCAAATGACGTTAGCAAAATATACCTTTGATTATTTGTGGAAGTTTTAGTACAGAGACCCCCAGCCTTTTGGGCACCAGGGACTGATTTTGTGGACTGGAGGGGGCATGGTCTCGTGTGCTGCTTGCATCCTGTGGATGGGGCTTTGCCTGTTTACACAGTCTGGTTCTAGCATGCCATGAACCAATGCTGCTCCATGGACCAGGGATTGGGGACCCCTGTTCTAGTACTAGAGAGAAGTTCTCAGGATGGTTCTTCCTCATTGTAGATCAGTCATTATAAAATTGAGGTCTTCCTTTTCTGAGAAATTACAGCAATAGCATTTAGATTTATATACTGCCCCATAGTGCTTTCCAGAATTCCCTGGATGGTTTAGAGCAGGGATCGCCAACCTTTTGGACCTCAGGGACCAACAAACTCATAATTTTAGATCTCAGGGATCACTAACTGGTTCTGTGGGCATAGCCTAACTTGTGGGTGTGGCTTGGTGGTCATGTGACTGCCTGGGCATGGCTTGTATGTAAATATTATAAATATTTATATAAATATTGAAGTTTTTATTAAAAAAGAGCAACTTTTACCTAAAATCAGGCAAAGCAGGCAGGCAGATTGAGTTGCTCACAGAATCATTCCGTGATCTATCGATCTGCCATCGGCTAGCTCAGTCTCTCAAATTTGCTTGCCATGAGTCTGCACTGAATTTGCTTGCAAGCAAACCTTCGGTCCTAAGGGAGGTTTGGCTGTGCTTACCTAGAAAGCAAGAAATCCAACCATTTCCTGCTTCCTAGCTAATCTAAATTTCCCAGCACAGCCGAACAGATGATGGTCGGAAAAAGGAAAAATAGCAACTTAGCAGACAAGTTTGCCAGGTAAGGAGTGAGTGGGCAGGGAGGGTTCCCATGGGCCATGTGGGCTGAGCAGCCTTGTGTTTGTGTGCAGCCTGGATTAATTGCTTTGGGGGGATGCTCTGGGGGTGAGATTTCTCTGCTGCCCACCAAAATTTTCTCACGGCCCACCAGTTGGCGACCACTGGTTTAGAGAGTCAGCATATTTCCCCCAGCAATGTGGGTCCTCATTTTACTGACCTTGGAAGGCTGAGTCAATCTTGAACCAGTCAGGATTAAAATCCTGGCTGTAGGCAGAGTCCACCTGCAATACTGCATTCTAACCATGATGCCACCAGGGCTTATCAGGATTTTCTTTTAATATCTCCCTTTAAACCATTGTCCTAAATCCTTGATAACATAGCCATATCCTGAACAAATGGAGCAACCCATCTTTTATTTCAAGGGATAATCCAGCTTCCAATGGGAGGGTCTCCTGCAAATGTGCATTATTTATTTAGTTATTAAATTTATTGGCTATCCATCTCACCACAAGGTTACTCTGCGTGGCTTACCATGTTACAATTATACATTAGCCAGGAATAACCAGTAGGATTTCAACAGTAGAAATGAGGCCATGGCCTCTGATTATTTCAGTACTGTTGCTCCATAAGCCTTCAGGGGAATTCCCTAGAGAAGAAGTGCCTTCACTTAGTAATTTGTTCAGATTTGGGAGGCTCTGAGCTGGATAGCAGTTTGAGTTACACCATTGAACGATGTCTCCTTGACCTTCAGCCATGTGTTAAGTGACTGTTCAAAGGCACTGAAAAAAGTGAGTTACAACTGTGTGCGCTCACCGAACCAGCAACATCCCACCACTGGTCATAAGTTGAGGATTACCCGTTCTTGAGGGGGTGAGAAATCAGTTGTGCAGCAATACTTAACAGTCCACTTGGAGATTCATGCTCACTCCTCTTTTTCTACACGTACAGCTTTTTGAGATCACATACAGTGCCTCTGAGAAGAAAGACAACATCAAGTTTCTCTCCTTCCCACCTTCCATGGGTTTGGGGCATGACCACATCTCCTCTCATCCTGAGCTGGCTTCCATTCTCAGGTAAGCACACTGAGCCAAGTTCATGCTACTGTTAAGACTTCTGTGAAAATAGTTTTCTCCTTTGATGCTTCAGTGGCTTGAGATTGGGAAGGGCACAGAATACAGTCCAACCCAAGACGCTACAAGTTTGATTATATTTATATGAATGAAGCCACGATTTGCTTACAATCCTTTACTGAATAAGCCCAAAGGACAGAATTCGTGGAATATATTAAATGAAAACCCAAGCAACCACATTTACAGTTCCTGTTGTGTTATATAAATTTCAGGGTGTCTGTTATATAAACTAGGCCATAGTACAGAAAATCTATTTTTACTAGCAAAATGTAGATTTCGTCTTACTTGATTAACAGTAGCTTAATCAAGGAGGTGAGCTAGTGCTTCTGGGATTTCAAGAGAGAGATTTCACTTAGAAAGGGAACTCCAGTAGTAGTGGCTGAAAATCTATCATGCAATACTTCTGTTCCATACCTGCTCATATTGCCCAGTTTTTATTGCTACATATTGTACTGCTGTGATGGGGTTGAGGACGATGAACCTCAATAAATGGGAAAGTCCAGATGAGCTCCACTGAGTGATCAGTGGACTATTTCTTTTTCTAGCCCTAGTTTAAAAAGCAATAGCAACAGCACCTAGACACCTAGGTATTCAGCAGGTTCTGACCAGTTCTGGGCACCCAGTTCCGAAGCAAAATTTTTGAGTAGTTCGGAGAACCAGCAAATGCCATTTCTGACTGGAGATTTTACAGTATCCTTCCCCTGCCACGCCCACAGAACCGGTAGTAAAATTTTTTGAATCCCACCATTGATACCACCCCATAATGCTTTATAGCACTTTCTGCAATGTAGAAGCATTATTTGCATATTTTCCGCTCAACAGTCTGGGCCCTCATTTTACCAACATCGTAAGTCAACCTTGAGACCACCCCCCAAAATCAGGATCGAACTCCAGGCTGTGGGCAGAGTTTACCTGTAATACTGTACTTTAACCACTGCCTACCAGGGCTTAAAGTATTACGTTCAGTTATATTGTTTTCTAATTGCTTAATATTTCATTCTTAACTTTTAAGCTGCCTTGAGTTCCCTGTGTGTAGAAAGGCAGGACATTATGTTGAAGGATGTGTGTAAGGCTTCTGCTGCCACAGTTTGTAGATAGTTTCATACTTTTTCTGCACAGAATAGCCTACACAGCCCTGGCCAAGTGAATCAGACAATTTGAGCAGGAGGTTGATTTTATAAGACACAAAATCCAAGAAACATAACTTCTTTGTCTGTTCCATAACAGAGACTTCCTCCAGAGCATTACGTAGGATCAGCAATCAAGTGGACAGTGACTTAATAGCAACCTCAAGGAGACATCAGTTCTTGCCATGGATATTAAAACAACGAACAGTTGGAAGATAAAAAAGTGGATTTCAGTTTATTTTACCATGTGAATTTGCAAATGTACACTACAGAACAACATTACTAGACAATAATACAGGAGTTTTTGAGCCTACCAAAGCTTTCTTCTTTTTCTATAAATGCATCTTATCTTGGTTACTATAGGCCTTATTTCAGCAGAACATCCTTTCTAGTCTCAGCATGTCTTCTTACTCACAGCTGAATCAATTTGATTTATAGTGTACTATATAGGGCAACTTCCTCAAAGGCTCGGTGCTGTAATTAACACTTGCTGAAAAGCACAAGGTGCTCTTCAGAATACTTCAAATAATTATCATTATTTGAATTATCATTGCTAAATAGGAGCACATGCTCACCCCTTGAAGGAAGAACAGGTAATCCAGATTCTATAAAAAACTAGACGAATTCTGCGTTGAAGCCTTCCTCTCTTAAAATGTATTCTTTCTGCTAATAGTTCACTTTATGAATATACATCTTGGACAAGCCCTTTCATTTTCATTAAAAGTCAATAATTTTGAGTAAACAGATTATTTGGTTTGCTAATGGCATTTTTTAATAACGCTATAAATTAGTAAAAATGCACCCTTTGAATGGTTTGGGTGGCCTACTTCAAGCTGGTCCTCTCTAGTTGTGCTGGGACTGGTACCTAGCATGGCCAGTGAGAATATCAGTGAGCATGAGAGATAAATGGTCCAGCAATTTAGGACCCATCAGGTGAAATAGAATGTATTAGAGCAAAATTTTTGGGAACAATTCCCAAAGTTCCCAAAGAAAGGAAGGGAGAGAACAGATAAATGTAGACCAGGATCTTCAAACTTGACAGCTTTAAGACTTGTGGACTTCAACTCCCAGAATTCTTCCTCCAGTTATGTTAGCTCAGGAATTCTGGGAATTGAAGTCCACAAGTCTTAAAGCTGTCAAGTTTGAAGACCCTTGATGTAGACAATGCATAAGATTCCCCAACTGCTCTCAGTGCTTATAAGCAAAAGAGCAAAGAAGAGGCCACTTTATTACCGTTACTTGCTAATCAAATCTACGCATGCTTTTCCCAATGTGTGGTACTGTGTGTTATCCATGCAGAGTTGCAGGACTTCTCAGATTCACATACTCAACTTTTCAGCTGAGTCATTGGCCAGCATCTCATCGGCAACATCGCGAGGTACATTGGGTGGTGGGATCTTGAGATCAGAAGGTTCCACATTCCAGATATCACGGGCATATTCTTTGATGGTCCTGTCACTGGAAAACTTCCCAGAGGCTGCAATGTTTCTGATGACCATCTTGGTCCATTCTTTGGAGTTCTGTAAGAAAGAGCGTATGTGAACTCGGCTCTTGCATGACAGTCAGATTCAGGATTACTACTGAACAGGTATGACACCCTATAATTCATCTCGAATTCCTAACCAGCCATACATGTTAGATCAGGAGCAGGCAAGTAACAGCTTCTAGAGCAATGTTTCCCAACTTCAGCAACTTTAAGCCTGGTGGACTTCAACTTCCAGAATTCCCCAGCCAACATGTTTCAGGTTCCAAACATCCCTCAACTCTCTCACACACTGACTGGATGCTAGCCAGATGAATACCGTTGGATGTTGGTGGCCAGAGGCACAATCTCCCCCTCTTACTTTTCTCCCCCCAAACTTGCCCGATCACACAGTTTCGTAGCGAAGCACGGGTACCCTGCTAGTTCAGTATATTAGAAGAGTCAGACCAAGAGAGGTATAGGATATATTGTAAGGCTTGAAGCCGGTAAAAAGAATCTCAAGGTGAAAGAACATAGGAGAGACAGCTGTTGCTGACTACTGAGATGAGCACTCAGGGTTTGAGTGCTAAAACCCCACATCTCTACTGTATGTTGGCAGGAGGAAGCTAAGGGGACAGGAGTTTGTTCGAAAGCTGTTCAGTCTTATATAAACATTATTTTAGCTTTTAGGGTTTTATTTGGCAAATTTGTTCACTATTTTAGGAATGATTTTATGCTTTTTTGTTTAAGAAATCATTTGTAAGTGTTTTTCATTTTGTGCTTGATCGGAAGGAGTGGAGTGGAGCGGGAGGAAAAGAAAGAAGAAACAGTGCGCACAGAATTCATCCAAACCTCCCAGGTGTTTGAAAAGAAGCAAATAAGCAGCTGTCTTTGGTGTTTAATTTAAGCCTCATATGCCTGCCAATCACTTGTGATTCTCTTAGAATGGGATTTACAAATAAGAGATTGAGAATCAACTGCTCATAGATGTCCCAAAGGTGCTTCTTGGATGAGAAGCGAAACGTCTTCAAAATAAAACCGAAAGTCCAGTTGCCTCTTGAAAAAGCACCTTTGAGACAACCATGACCTGGATGATTGAGAATCTCCATAGACATGCAGCTGCTCATACAGCTTCCCTCTACATTGAGGAAGGAATATAACATACAATAAATCTATCTGGGAGTGTTTCTGTCGGTTCAGCCAGCAGCAGCCTCGGTTATGTGGTGAACTAAACTAAACTAATCTCCAAATGTATCAAGAGGAGGAGGGAAATAAGAACTGGTAGATCTGTCAGAACTGGAAGAGTTACTATGAAGAAACTGCAAATGCTATTACTGTTTAAGCCACCTACAGATAGTCCTCAACTTATGACCACAATGGAGCCCAAAATGTATGTTAAGCGAGAAATTTCCTAAGTTTTATGACTTTTCTCGCCTCATTTGTTAAGTGAATCACTGCAGTAGTTAAGTTAGTCACCCGGTTGTTAAGTGAATCTGGCTTCCCCATTGACTTTGCTTGTCAGAAGGTCATAAAAGGTGCTCACATAACGCCCAGGACATTGTGATTGTCGATCTGCCCTATCGAGGAACACATTCCTGAGTAGTCCTGCTCCTTTTGTAGGTTAGCTAGATATTTAAATCACAAACTAACATATTCCAGTGTCTTTCCAAAAGCTGTCCTTGGGGGCAAATACAAAACCATCCCTTACAACAGGGCTCTTCAAACTTGACAGCTTTAAGACTTGTGGGCTTTAGCTCCCAGAATTCCTCCTCCAGTCATGTTAGCTTGGGAATTCTGGGAGTTGAAGTCCACAAGTCTTAAACTTGCCAAATTTGAAGAGCCTTGCCTTTTGAGTTAAGCTTATATTCTCATGGAGAAGAAACTACCAAAACTCTCAAATCCATAGCTCATGTCCTGCCAGGCCAAAGGAACCAAGAACAATAGGAGTACTTTATTGTTTGCTTACGGACAGACATCTTGCCAAAAACTAAAGCACTTATCTGTATAACTATTAGATATACCCTGTGCGCTGCTGGTGAAGGGAACGGTGTCTGCCTTCCTCCTTTTCCTGCGGACTAAAGATTTCAAGCTATGCTGTCTCTTTGCTCCCTGGGAAACAGTCCTTCCCTCCTACAACTCTGGACTACGTCCCACACATGTCTTGTTATGCTGCACCTTCCTAAAAAGACTTAAAGGCCCATTTTATAATTCCTATCTAGTAATAGGAATTGTAAAATGTCTTTAAAGAAACAATAATGTCTTCAAAGAAAAAACAAGTAAGTACAGTTGCCTTGTGGAAAAAAAACATAACACTTTTGGGACAAGAATCTCTATAGACTTTTAGCTATACAATTTGGGATGAACATCCTTTGAATGGCGGAGAGTAGGAATGGATTTCCAGAGGAAAAAATGGCAGACTACAGGAACTCAGGTGGCTAAGGACATAGCTAGACTTCCCAAGTACTGCAACGACCCTCTGAAACAGGTCTGTCAAACTCCTGGCCCATGGGCCGGATGCGTCATGTGCTGGCCACACCCATGCCCAGTTTAGCAAAGGGGAAAAAAGTCCCAATACATCATGTGATGACGCCATGACAATGTGAGTTTGGCACCCCTGCTCTAAAAGAATGCAAATGACCAGTTATCTGCAAGGAATATGAATCCTTCCATTCCCCACCATCCAGTCAGAGCTGAAGAAGCTTCTTGGGTGAGAAGTGAAACATCTTCAAAGAAAAAACAAGAAAGTCCAGTTGCCTCCTGAAAAAGCACCTTTGGGTCAACCATGACCTGAATGAATGAGAATCTCTACAGACTCCTATCTAGTGAAGTACTCAAACAATTGATTTATTTTATGCACAGTTGCTTTTATCAGATCAGTAATGCTTTTATTTTCTTGAGTATGCTATGCTACTGTCCATAAAATTAGACATACTCTGATCACCTTAATGACCTAGCTATAATCTAATGCTGTCTTAAGTAAAATAGCATTAGCATTTTAGGCTTATATATTGCCCCATAGCGCTTTCTGGGCTGTAAAAGTTGCTTAATTATTTTTGTTATTTGTTCACTAGTAGAATCTGGGGCACTAATTATAGAGTAATCGAAACTGAGATATAGAAAGACTTAAAAGCATACTAATTTAGTCACTGTAGTGAATAAAATTGGTCACCTCAAGCCAATTTTTTAATGGCAACAAAGTGAATTCTTTTCAAGTCAGGCATACTAAGCAGATACATTGGGTAAGGCATTGAAAAAAATAAAGTCTGAGTAGTTTGGCATGATACATGAATCACTTTTACTCTAGTTTTTGTTAATCCATCAAATTCAGTTAGTGGTTAGTCCAGTATGTCATGCAAACTCAGAAAATTTGATACAGTAAACATGGTTAATTTAACTGGGTATGTCTGTTGTACAAATTCATTGTAGATAAGATTGATTTGTGTGGTCAGGAATACACAGGACAGAGCACTGGTGATTTGCACTTTGGTTATTTGTTCAGATACTTACAGTACACAATAAAATTTGTAAATATTCTCCACACCCAGCTTACCATATAGAGTTTACTGACACTGTCTTGGCACTTGACGTAAGCTTCATAGTCTGCAAATACTTTAAACCTATCCAAAAGAAAAAACCAAAAAGTGTGAAATGCTTTGAAGGCAATCTGAGTTTTAGATTGGTAGGCCTAAACCTCTGGTTAGTCTTGAAATTCACTGTTCCAGCACATTCCCTTTGGAGTGGCACAAATTAATTTTTGTTCCAAGCATTAACTTTTGGGAAACTGCCAGACCATGAGCAGAATGGTTAGATCAGATTGGTCCAGAATAGAAACAAATACTGTATTCCAGAAG